AATAAAGGCCTATCAACAGCTAGAAAAATATTTTTTAAAAAAGGGCTGAGGATGTGGCTCAGTGGTTAAGTGCCCCTGGGTTCAAATCCTAGTACAAAAAAAAAAAAAAAAAAAGCAAGATGGTAAATTTATGTGTATTTTAACACAATAAAAATATTGTTAAATTTTTAGAAATTGAGTCATCTGATTCATAAATAATGTGCATATTTATCTAGCTCTTAAGTTCTCTCAGTAATGTAGTTTTTAGTGTACCTGTCTTACATATACTTTATTAAATTCATTACTACGAATTTTATGTTCTCAATGCTATTGTAAATACTATTTTCATTTTCCATTATTTTGGCTACTATATAAAAATACCATTGATTTTAGTATACTGGGGGGGAGGGTAATGTATCGAGTGTTTATTGCTGAATCATGAATTACCCAAAACTTGGCGGCTTAGAACAGCTACCATTTTCTTTGGACACATGTTTTCTGGATCAACAGCTTGTCCTCCTCTGCCAGGCACCCTGTGGCTCTGGTCAGCAAGTGACTCCACCCCAGCAAGTGTCTGCATGTGGTGCTGGTCATCACTAGGCCACGGCACCAGCAGGACAGCTGGGGCTCCTTCACACCAAGCAAATAAATGAGAGGAAAGCAGAAGATGCCAGGTCCCCTGAGGCCCAGGTTGAGTCCCAGTAGGTCAGCGTGGGAGGGCCAAGAGTACCTTGCTGCCCAGACCCCTCAGGTAATGAAAAGGAAAGTGGGGACTCAACCAGCAGATTCATTCCTTGCTCCTGTGAAGAGGGACAATTTACCTGGGATCAGGAAGACCATACAGAGAAACAACACAACCACTGATGAGAGATTCTGCACTAGGCAAATATTTGTATGCATTGAAAGACTAAATTAAATGGACTTTCGAGAAAAACATTAACTAAATGGTAGACTTAAAACCTAGACAACAAAYGGTCAAGAATTGTGAAAGAAACCAAAGCAGTACTGAAATACCAACTCCCCCGAACAAGACACTACATCCTGGTCTTTTATCAAACTGTTCATGATACAGAAAACCACAGAGTTAATTACGATTCTAGCTTAAMCCTAAACCCAAACCCACAAGCATAGCAAAAACCCATACTAAACTTGTGAGTAAAGATGAAAACGACTTTTTAATCCTTTTTTTTAATATTTATTTTCTTTTGGTGTAGATGGACACAACACAATGCCTTTATTTTTATGTGGCGCTGAGGATAGAACCTGGGTCCCGCCTGTGCTAGGGGAGCACTCTACTGCTGAGCCACAATCCCAGCCCTGACTTTTTAATCTTTTTTTGGGCAGAAAAAAAAAGATAAAAAGATTTTGGGGCAGTACTAGGGAYTGAACCCAGGGGTACTCTACCACTGAGCTACATTCCATGCCCCCCCCTTTTTATTTTTTTGGAGACAGGGTCTTACTAAGTTGCCCAGGCTGGCCTTGAACTTGATGATCCTTCTGTCTCAGCATCCTAAGCAGCTGAGATGACAGGTGTGTGCCACCATACCCAGCATAACATGCAAAACCCTTAAATATTTTAACAAACCTGTCACTAGGGCGTCTTACACAATCATGCATAAGGCCAGGCCCCAGCTCAAGCAACCTGCAGAGGGAAGGCAAATTCTCTCTTCTCTGCCTGGGTTCACTTGGTCCTCCAATGCTAACCTCATGGGGACACTGCAGAGACACCCACAAACAATGCCTCATCAGGTACAAGGACATCTCTGAACCCACTAAGGTGACACATGAACTTAGTCATGAGGGAAGTCTACCTCCTGCTGCAACTTGGCTAATCACATTCCTAGACCCAGATGGCCCTAAGTGATGACTTCCAGGGGTTCCTGGGAAGCAGAACCCGGGACAATGTCTTGGAGGTCTTTCTTTGGGGAAGGTGGGTACCCCAAGGTTGGAGGGTGGGAGTCAAGAGCATGGGCCAGGATGAAATGCAGAGAAAGGCTGAGCAGTGAGCTCAGTGCTGAGGTTGGCGGGCAGGCACCTGGGGTCAGTGCCTCTGAGACCTGCAAGGGCCCCGGTTGAGGGCCAGGCCAAGGCAGTTCCTGTGATAGACTATGCCCTGAGACTTTAAAGGAAGACCTGGGCAGAGAGCTCAGGGCCCTGGGAGCTCAGCACACTGCTCCTAAGTCCTAGTTTATGAAAGTTCTTCTTCCTGGCTGAACATCTCCTGGAACCCAGGTGCCTCCAGTGAAAGAATCCCATCAAGTCACAGCTCAGAGCCTCCCAACTGGCTGTGTGCGGGACACCTTTCCCCTGCTGGAACCTGTGCCCATCTTGAGCCCCGGGAGGGAGCAAGAGAACAGCTGGGATGAGCGCCAGACTCAGGCCCCACCTGAGCTCTCAGTGGGAGCCCCTCCTGCTCTTCCTTGCGCTAATGCTCCTTGGGATAGAACCCAGACCAGCATTCTGTGCAGCTGACTCTTCACTGCAAAATGGGGTTTGTCTTTTCAGTGCCACCCTGCAGCACAGGGTGTGACAGTGAGGCTCAGCGGTGACCACGGTGATCTGGTGGAGTGTGGGGTGAGGGCTGTGAGGGGCCTCTGCTCCGCAAGCAGATGTGTGAGGTTTGCGGAGGCTGCAGGTCACCTCTGCTCCACATTTCCAYATAATCACCAAGTCTGAGGGCCCAGGTCAACTGTGAACGGATCTGTCCCACCTTCCCGGAACATGCCCAGGACTCATCGTCTCAAGGCCACCAAGGCCCTGTGCTGCAGCAGCAGCAGCAGCAGCCAGGCCCAGGAGCTCACCCCACCTCCCTGGAAGGCTGATACCCACCCACCAGCCCCTCTTTGGTAAAGCTTTTGGTGAATGTTGCCAACATTATTTACCCAGAGCAGTCTGCTTGTGTCACAGAAACCGGGGGCCCTGTGGCACCAGGAGTGACCAGGTATGAGGGCCCTGGACCAGGATGCAAAGGACATTTAGGGATCACCATCCCTCAGTGCCCTGCCTGCAAAGGCGGGGACACGGGCACTTCTGCTTCCCAAGGCCTCCCACACAAACAGCCCCGGTGGCACTCTGCCCAGCAAGCTCCTTTCTTCCCCAAGGTCATGTAGCTACCTCCCTGGATTCCTGTTCTGAGCCCCTTCCCTGGCTGTCCTGCACTGCAGCTGGGCGCTGGGCAGCCAGCTCTTAGTGGCCAGGGAACCCACAACTTTCTGGTTGTGCACACTGGGGCTCAGAGACTCCTGGTGGTCTGGGGGTTGAACCAGGGCCTTGCACTTCACCAAGTTTGCTGAGCTTCATCCCCAGCCCTCAGCAGCTGTCTCTGCAGGGGCAGATTTGCTGTCACCTGGATATCTTCCATCTCTGCCGCACCCCAAAGTGCCCTACAGAGGCAGTCTCTGGGCACTGTCCAGAATCAGGTGCCTGTCACCAGTGGCATTTCAAAGACTGCAAAGGAAGACGGCTTCCTCTGTGCTCTGTGCCCCGCAGGTGGGGCAATTCCAGGACATAGCCTGGTCCAGCCCTGGGGGTCATGGTGTCATTGGATCGGCTCACTGCATCATAGGATAGCCCAGAAGCTCAGCCTCACCTGAAAGATCTACCTGCCCCCAGCCACAGAGGAGTTGCCACCCAGAGAGGGACACTGTGTTTAGTAAACAAAAGCAGGCACAGAACCATTTTATTGGAAACTGGTTAAAAGTAAGGCACTCTGAACACGGCAGTCTCCTCAAGCTCACAGTTGTGCGGCTCCCTTAGCCTCAGTTCAGAGAAAAGCTCAACCAAGACCAGCCTAAGGTCACCTGATGTGAGAATCAAATACACTGTATTTAAAAACAGGTTGCTCTACTTTAATGCAGCAACCTCAATGAAAGAAACTGTGATTTTACATACATACTATCAGGTTAATACAAAGTTCATTAAAGCCTATTATGACAGCTGCCATCACATACTTAGGAATGTTTCATAATACTTTAAAAATTACTATCCAATGCCCAAGAAGTCAGAAAAATAAGACTGAAGCAATTGTCAAGGGCCACATCCTTAGTGTAAGAATTGGCAGAGCCACTGCTGGGCGACCTGCCCGTCAYGAGGGCCACAGCCACGGATGCCGCCCACAGCATCATCAGGAGCATGAGGACGGAACACGCTGCTTGCCACTGGTGCTGGCTACCTACATTCCCGGGGAGAATTTTTTTTAAAATTCAAAGCAACCTGGCAACTGGAAGTATTGTCTAGTATCTTTTAGGAAAAGCATCTAGCTGTCCGTGCCACCAAGAACATTCTGTTCACTACTCATGTGTCTTGATTTTAAGAAATGCACAGCCTGGGGCACCTGGAGCTTCTCTGAGAACTTACAGTCGCCGCCTCAGACAGAAACCCTCCCACAGCCCAAGCTGAAGTGCAGCTGGAGTAGGTGGCCTGCTGCGGGCAGCCTACCTGTGGCAGTGTGTGGAGGACCTTCAGCAGGCCTCAACACACCGGTGTCCTGCATACTGGGCATTGAAGAGGGGCTGGCCTACGGATGACCTTCTCCCTTCTTGGGGTAAATGTGCCAGGCCCACCTCTCAGATAGCCTGACAGGCAGGCAGAAGTCCAAGGCTTAAGAGAATATTCCCAAGGACGTATGAATGCCCAGGTGCTGGTGGAGCTGGAGGGAAGGTGAGGTGGGCACCAGAGCACCCACTCCAGCCCGAGGGCAATTCGTGTTTCCATGGGGAAAGGCTCTCGGGTCTTTAACAGATGTAAATTTAAAAATACCATCTCATAAGGGTCTGATCTTTTACATGAATATCTGGGGGTGGGAATATTTTGGTGATGGCATCCAAGAATTATTATTATTTTTAATTAAGGTGATTTTAACTATTCTTTAGTGCTATTTGACATAGTTGCAGTGAGGAAAAAGATMCTTATCAAACTGTGTATGGGACACTATTTTCTACAAAAAGCTACCTGCATTAAGACACACCAAGGTTCAAAGAGATGGGCACACAGAAGTGCCACCCATGGATTTTTTTGGGGAAATGAGAATGTCTTGCTCAGTTCGCCCATGACACAGTGAAGGTGACTGTCCCCATCACTGTGTGAAGCTTGCTGGTGGAGAGAGGCCCTCGGGACCTCTGCTGCTGCAGCAGAACTGCTGGCACATCGGACTGTGGGCTGCTCACCTGGTCATCAGCTTGTAGACCAAGACAGGCAGACAACAGTGAAAGGAAAACAGCAAGGGCCCCGCAAGATTAATGTCTCGAGCAGCTAAATACAGAACAGAGGCAGGAGGGACAGAAGGCCACAGCCGACAGGGCAAGAGCAGGATTGTCCTCTCAGGGCAGCTTCCAGGACTCTGCTGGAGGCTAGCCCAGGGTGCAGCGGGCTCCTGACCTGTGCTGGGCAGCATGAGCCTGCAGGAGGGCCCAGGACCGCCTAATCTTTCGGACACACACGCAGTCGTCCTAAAACTTCTCATATGGGTTTTGTTCTTTAAACAAACCTGAAAGAAAACAGACTTGAATTAGAAATGCACTCACTCAACTGGAAACAGAACGCCTGAAAGCAATGTTGGCTGGCTGAGTTTCACATGAACATGTACTGAGGCCGAGGAACGGGTTCTCCGCAGGCCGAAGCTGCCAGACCCTTCCTGAAGTCAAACCACAGTGGACTCTGAAACTGAAAACTTACCAGAAACAATAATGGTGACAGATCCTAACAAGTGAAGACTGACTTGCTGAAGAGAAAGCACAAAGAGAAAGCAAATGCTTCCTTTGGTACTGGCTCCTAGAATTATACAGAAAAACCAAACCAACCTCCTCACTCTGAATTTCCTATAATTGCTATTAAACTTTAGAATCAAAGTTACAAAAGGAAGCCGACCACCAAGTTGACTTGAGCATTACAACATAACTGGGATAAAAAGAGAATGTATGCACAAAAGTCAGTCCGTGGTACTGACCCCAAACCAGACGTTTACTCTTCACCTTGCAGAAACACACACACACTCTGTGTGACAAAATGACCAGGAGCCAGCGCAACAAACCTACTTACTACAGGTCTGCTGGGGGCGGGGAAGCAGGGGCAGGGAACACGCGGGCAGGGCAGCAGGAGGGTGCGCCCGGTCAGGACTGTTTGTGCAGACCTCAGGGGAGGAGGCTGCAGTCAGTTCTGGCCCACAGCCCAGTCACTGAATGCACACAGGAGCAGCCATGCCAAGGCCTTAGTGAGAGAAGAGCTCCTGGCTCTCATGCCGGTTTGGAGGGAAAACAAGTTGGAGGGAAAAGAAGAGGCAAGCCATTTTGTGATAACAAGTTAAATGCCTTCCAAAACCACAAGAGGCCCGAGGACCCTGTTAGCTGACCAAGTCAACCCAAGTGTCTTCTCCCACCAGGACCTCCGGGGACTTACTCCACGCAGCCAAGGTTGTTCAAAGTGCAGGCCACTCAATGGGCTCTATTATAAGCGAGCAAAAAAAGCAGAGGCCCAAGGAGAGGGCAAGTCCAGCATCACCATGGCAGGAACAGGCAAGCAGCACGACCCACCCAGAGCCACACACTGGCCTCTGCTCACATAGAAGTCAGGYCAAGCCAAAGTCCAAGGGTGCGTGGCAGTGACCAACACTGTGCTCTGTGTGCACGCGTGAGCATGCATGTTCACCTAGTCTTCTATTCATATTTACACTCATCAGTGTCAAAGAGCTCCTCAAAGTAAGCTGCGTCCAGCCAAGGGGTGGTATGGATGCTTGATGTCCTGCTCTACATGGGAGTCGCACCAGGAAGTCCAGTCGCCACCCACAATTGGAGCCAGGGGGTGCAGAGGGCCAGGTGAGGGCTAGAAACAGGCTGGCCCTGGGGCAGGGGCAGTGGGGATGGCAGGCTGGCCAGGAGAGAGCCGGGGCCAGTGCAGCAGCCTGGAGCAGGCAAGGGCAGGGGCTCCAGGAGCTCCACCAGCTGCTGCGCATGCCCCTGGAAGGAGAGGAGACCCGGGCCTCGGGAAAGCAGGGCCGTCTCTAGCCTGAGGCCACACACCAAGCCAGCAGGGTCAGTCCTGTGGCCTTTGCAACCCAGTCTTGGCTTCTTGTGCACACTGTGACTGGGAAGCGGTCTGACCAGTTAGGACAGAGACCTCCTGGCCAGTTGACAGAGCTAATCACTGTGCACAGCACCAACACCAGCAGCAATGGGGCCCCTGTGGCCCCACCACAGGGAACTAAACCCACACACATTTAATATTTTAACAGCTCACACCTGGAAGCACCACACTGTCTACTAGTGCTACTGGGTTCTGTTCTCCTCCAACCACAGAAACCAAGGAGTGATAATAACGATCCCAACGGCTAAGATCTCAAAATATCACATTTACTTAGAGGACTCAAACTGCATTCATTGGGAAAAGATTCTGAAATTCTCTTCAGGTGACAGGTACGGTGGTGCATGCCTATAATCCCAGCAGCTCAGGAGGCTGAGACAGGAGGATCCTGAGTTCAAAGCCTCAGCAAAAGCAAGGTGCTAAGCAACTCATTGAGACCCTGTCTCTAAATAAAATACAAAATAGGGCTGCAGATGTGGTTCAGTGGGCGAGTGCCCTGAATTCAATCCCCAGCACCAAAAAAAAAAAAAAAAGAAAAAAGAAATTCTCCTCATAGGATTTCACCCTTAACACAGTTCTTCAGGACAGCACAGGGCCTCAGTGAAGGAAAGGACAGGGACCCAGAGGCCTAGGTTCCTGGACAGCAAGGRAGGCAGTTGCTCATATGCCCACCACCATGCAACCACCAAACCCAGCACAGAAAATTCTGGAACTTGGTGGCTTCCACATCAGCTCAGAAGCACAGAAGACAGCAGGGTCCAATGCTCCCAGCAACATGTGACTGGAGGACAAGTTAATGTGCTGGGTTTCCAGACCCTTCCACCAGGAYGAAAGGTTTACATGAGACACACACACCTCACTCTGACCCCTTCAAAGCCACCCCAAAACAAGGCAGGCAAGACCAAGCGTCCAGGGGGAATAGTAGAGGCACTGATAGACCAGCTGCAGCTCAGGCCAGTGTCTGAGAAAGGAGGGCTGTCCGCTGCACTCAGCCCACAGGAGAAGGCAGGCCAGGGTGAAGGGCTTGTGAGCTGGACAGGGAACCAGCCTAACTGTGGTACAGGTGCGCCCACTTGAAGGCAAAGAGGAGGATACACCAGCTACTGATGGCCTTTCTGGAAGTTACCATACTTCAGGAACAAACAAGTACCCAAGAAAAAGAAGTCTGGCCRAGATAAACGCCTGCGGGAGTCTCTCCTCTGAAGACACTCGTGCCATCACGCGTTAAGCACTGAGCCTAGAGTAACACCAGCTGCTGTCCTCATGTAGGAGAGCCACAGAGAGTAGCTGCGGCACAAGACATGGTTCCCATTCCGGGACMGCCCAAAGGAGGTGCAATGGAGCCTTACCATATTTTTTTCTGATTTCGTCGTGTCTTGACTTCATCTCAGCTCTCCTAAAAAGCATAAAAAACATCAGGTAGTATCAAACCACAATGCACAACATTGTCTCAAAAAATACACGCTTCCCAGGAGACCCAGCTGGGTGAGCTGAGCCATCAGACGGGCCCACTAGGGCAGCACAGGGTGGCAGAGCAGTCCCCAAGGCTGCTCAGCATCCAGTCTCCTCATCAGTACACCTCCTCAAATGCCCAACACTGTGATCTTTTACAATCTCCTTTTGTACAATGAAAATGCACCAACCCTGCCAGGTTCTGAGGGTGGTTAGGAAAACGCAATTGCAGACATGCATCAAGTGGCCCAGAGGGTGGAAACCTCAGGAGGACATCAGCTGCCAGTCTGAGGGGACAACAGTCCCTCCAGCTACCAGGGCTTGAGGCCCCTGCACAGGCCAGCAGAGTGCTGTGCTGCACAGTGTAAGGGTGACCCCATCCGTGCCGGAGCCTCCGCTTGCTCAGCTGAGTTGATGGGGCAGGGACTAGAGGGCTCAGAAGCCCAGACACCTCTGCAGGCTCAAGGGCAGTCATTACATCACAGGAGCACACGTCAAGCCAGGCTGCACCACCATCTGCCTGCCACCAAGAGAAAACCCACAGGCGAAGGCCTGGGCCACGGCTAGAGCCATTCCGCGAGATGCCTGCCAGTTTCTCACTCTTTACATAGCCTGGGACTACCCTGTGGACACTGAGCACATTCTCCTTTTTAAAAAACAAAATTCATGACTCATAAATGTTTCCAGATCTGAGTTCCCTAAAGTAAACTCCCCCGATGAGACCTCACCTCTCCTCCTGCCGGACCCTCCTTTCTTCCTGCTCTCTCATGGCCCGCTCTTCGCCCTTATCTGGTTTCTGACTCCTCTTCCGCCGGCAGCAGCAGTAGCAGCAAACAGTGATGCCCAGGAGGATGATGCCCCCCAACACTGACATGGTGATGATCAAGGCCTGGAAGTTCACTGGAAATCCAACAGCTGGAGTTAGGACTGCTTCAGGTATGGGACCTGCCACTGAACCTCCCTCCCCTCAGCTGCCGGGGGGGTGGGCAGTCCTGGTCTGTGGCTCCTGGCACCGTGTTCCTCAGACATCTATGTGTGATTTACAATTTCTAGGTTAACCACAATGAATCAAAGGGACACAACAGCTTCTTTTACTTGAGATTGGAAAGATGTTCACAAACTAAGGAAGATTAACAAAAACCAGCAAGAAGAAAAAGAATCGGGCTGGGGTTGTGGCTCAGTGGTAGAATGCTCGATCCTCAGCACCACATAAAAATAAATAAAATAAAGGTATTGTGTCCAACTACAACTGAAAAAAATATTTAAAAAGAAAAGAAAAAACCCACCAAGCTGTCTATTGGTCCTGTCCCAGGATACCCTGAACTGTAAAAACAGGTTAGGCACCCTGAGAAAGCTTTGTTTATCATTTAAATCAACATCAAGAAGATTACAACCACTCCCCAGAAAAACAAACTTCCTTCAGGGGACAGTGACCACCAGACCCAAAAGGAAGGAGCTTGGAGAAGCAGCCCAAGCCACAGGCCATGTGGGGTGGTCTTCAAATCTGAGTACTATCGATTCCCCAGGGTTCGTTCGATGTGGCTGCCTAATGAGTTTCAGTGGTGTGACTTGCTAGTTCAAGCCAATCCAAAACAAGTTTACCATTTTCTTCAATTTTCCTTAAAGGTCTTTTTAAACTGAAAGTAGTCAATTCTACTCAATTCAAACCAGAGCCAATTAAAGAACATGTTGTACAGCTTTTACAAACATATTTTGATCACCCAGTTAGAAGAGTTTACTGAAGACAGCTTTAAGAACAGATTCTCTGGGCAGTGGTGCACCGTGGCCTCAGTTTGTTCAAGGAAATCAAGAACTACCAGAGAGCTGTCTCCCTAGGCTGCCGCCCTGGCAGGTCTGGAAGGTGGCAGTTTTGCCAAGAGTTATTTTTAAGGATAAGCACCCACCCCCAGGTAGGCCTTGACCCCTCTTGGCACCAGGAGATGCTGAGAGGCCCTCCAAGCTCCCACCACTACGCTCCTATGATGTGGACCCCCAGCTCACAACCCCCTTCTCACACATGGGACAGGCAAAGTATGGGCTTGTCCCCAGCAGCAGGTTGCAGGTCTCTTTCAGCCCTCAAAAGTCACCAGATAAGCCAACCCGAGCTCATCTGGGAATCAGGGAACCCTCCCTCTTGCCACTACAAGGCCATCTCCCTCAAAACCCGTGTGACTACAGATCCTGAGGTCAACTATACTGAAGGATTCCTTAAAACTCCCAGGACCTGGCYGCCTGACCTGACACCAGATGACCACTGGCTCCCTGACTTCTTTCTCTCTAGGAGTGTCACAGAGTTACGGCAGCATGTTACACTACCTGAGATGTGTTAGAATTTTCAAAACAGCACCGATTTTGCAAGAAATAAATGAAAACAACTCACCCCAGCAAACGCCCCAGCGTGCAGAGCTCAGCTTACAGAGAGAGGCAGGGGGCAGTATTTTTCTGACGGGGTATTCCAAGCAGGCGTTATTAGCGTTGCACCACAGACACTGGAAAAGACCAAACAAGAACACAATGTGAAACCCAGAGCCAGCCTGCCCAGGACCTGGCGCTTCTCACCACCTCCACCACCATGGGCAGCAGTACCTCTCCCCAGATGACCACAATGGCCTTGGCCCCAAACTCACATTTCTCATCCTTGCTGCCCTTCAGTCAATGCCCCACACAATGGCTAGGGGTCCTGTCAACAACCCTTGTACCTCAGAAAGCCTGCACAGCTTAACTGGACTTGGCTACATAGGCTGGCTGTTGTCCAGGGAGCACATTCCCCACCCCACTGTCCGCCCTTTGGTGCCGCTAGCCTGCCCTGCTCACATGCCTGCTGCCACGCTGCACCAGCACAGGCATCTGTGCAAACAGGCCTGGGATGCAGCCTGGCCCCCAGTGGGCATTCCTGAGGTACCTGGTGAAGGAACTGGGGACCACAACAATCACTGAGAGGTCCCTCCTTACAGTGGCACTGCATCACTACAGCTTGGAAGACAACGTGGCCAGGGCTCAGAGGCAACTGCCTGAGCTGAAGACCTATGGGAACCTCACGGTCRACTCTGAGCCCCACAGGGTCATGGTGAGGTGCAGCTGTGTGAGATGGCACCCTCACACCTGTAGTGGTGTCAAGAGCAGGGCAGGACAAGGCCCACCAGACACCACAGGGGTGCACAACAGTCTGGGCATGCTCCCAGAGCAGGATGCCAGGGCAGCTAACACACCAGGGCTGAAAAGCCGCAACCCCAGCAGCACTGAGCTTGCCAGCCTATGCTGGGGCACACCTGCACTGCAAACCCTGATGCTAACAGCATTACAGAACTCTTCTCCTGGTTTTTTTAATAATATTTATTTTTTAGTTTTAGGTGAACACAATAGCTTTATTTTGTTTCTATGTGGTGCTGAGAATTGAACCCAGTGCCTCACACATGGTAGGCGATCGCGCTACCACTTGAGCCACATCCCTAGCCCCATTCTTCTATTTTTGAAAAATATTTTTTTAGTTGTCAACAGACCTTTATTTTATTCACATGTGGTGTTGAGGATGGAACCCAGGGCCTCACACATGCTAGGCAAGCGCTCTACCACTGAGCCACATCCCAGCCCGGGAATTTTTAACAGGACTAAAAACAATCACAATATTTTGATCTTAAGTTAGGGTGAACATCTATTACAAAAATACTGAAGTGTACCCTGGGCTCCCTTCCCCAGGACAAGAGCACAGCAATGCCTTAATGTCTTGTTTCCACAYAATTCAGAGCACAACGTGGTAACAACAGTCAGACCCTGTGCACCTGCCATCTGGAACATCTTCCACTCCAGAGGTCAACCACTTTTGGCTAGTCTTCCATTTTCAAATCCTACTTGGTCCTCTTGTGGCTTCCAGAAGCCTGAGTGCACTCCAGCAGAGGCCCAGAGGGTCTGGGGCTAGCCCTCTGTACCTGGCCTTTCTGGTTTGCCCTGTGGCTAGTGTGGGGTCAGGACTCAGCTCTCCAGGACTGGMCCCACCCATGTGACCTGGCTGGGTCTCTGTGAACTCTGTTGTCACCACACCTACCCAGGGCAGTACAGCACAAACCAGCTCTAGACTACAAGGCCAGGTATGGTGACAAGCTATTTTTATGGCTGAAATGACTTCCAATAGGAAAGCCAGAGTCAGAAAACAAACAGCCACAAAACAGTGGTGTCRAGACAGGCTGCCCAGGGCTGGGCTGGGCTGAGTGGTGGAGCGCTTGCCCAGCATGTATGAGGCACTGGGTTTGATTCTCAGCAACATGTAAATAAATAAATTAAAGGTCCATTGGTGACTAAAAAATAATTAAAAAAAAAGAAAGAAAGAAAGATAGGCTATGTGTGACAAGACACATCACAAATTGCACCACTGTCATGTGGGTGAGAGTTGTTCTTTAAAAACATACCACGCAGTGGAAATCATCTGCCACTCGGTTCCTGCTGCTTCCCATGGCTGGGGAAGAAACAGGCTCTCTAGTCCTGAAAACCCGTGACAAYCTCCGGAGATGGGGGGAGGAGGACTCCCTGGACCTCAGAAAGAGGCCACAGAAGGCTGCTAGCCTTCTCTCAAGCCACTACAGGGCTCTGGACTACACAGGGTCAACTGAGAGCCCCTTGGCCGGCCAGAGCTGCTGAGAGGTGGCTGAGGGCAGGCCACGGTGGCAGAAAGGCCAAAGGCCCTGAACCAAGCAGACGTTCGTGCATCTTCTCAGGATCTATGTTGGGGTACCCCCACAGCTGGCTCCTACTTCTCCCAGATGGAGTACCCATTTCCACCAAGCCTGGAATRACCCATCTACAGGGAGACAACTGGGTCTCTGACCCACCTCATAAAGCAGAGGATTGGGCAATCTTGCTCCAGAATGACCACCCTCTTACTCAAGGGCACACAGGGATTTAAAAGGTTGGGGACAAAATCCAAACATGCTGGCTGTCTTTTCAGTGGACAGGCTGGCCCCAAGTCTTTCAATGACCTGGCAGGTGCCTCTCCCTAAGCACCCTCTCCCTCCTGAGGCACCCCACAGGCCCTGACTGTGGAGGGAAGGCATGGTACAGTCGCAGACAGTGGCCCGAGGTCCTCCTGATGGGGCCCTATGAGGGGGGTGGTTGCCACAGCCCTGAGCACAAGTGGGCAACAGGGCCTGGGCCTGCTGTGGAGGCCCAGCCCCTCAGTGAGRTGAAGTCACCATCCCCAACAGACTCTCAGGGCTGACGGCCCTAGAGGGAAGGCCTGGCCAGGAAGTGGCTGTACAAGCAGATGCTCAGCCCAGGGACTCTGTCAGCACTGGCCACCAAGCACCAGCATGCCTGAGCTTGCCAATGAGCTCCAGGAGACCCTGCCTGCACACTTCCTCCTCGCTAACACCTGCTGCAAGAGTACAGTCGCCCTCGCTGCCTGTGTGGTGAAAGGTAAGGAGGTGCAGTGTGCCCGGGAGAGCCTGACAGCGTCTGTAATGGCCGTCATCACAAACACCCTACAATCTCTCTACACCCACGTGTCTCCTGGGATAGAGGAAGCCGGTCCGTTTCTGGTCAGCGACCTCATCTGCGCTACTTACAGAGACATTCTTCAGGCACTCCTCACAGGATCTGTTTGTGTACTGAGAACAACCTGTGGGGAAAGACAGGCATCGTGAGGGTCGTGAYGAAAGACAGCTCACAGGCTGGGCAGACCTCCCAGCACCAGCCTGCTTTAGGTACGCAGGAAAAACATCAACATCAACTCCTGCTGCCAGCAGGGGACCTGGAAGAGCAGAGGCAAGGATCTTCAGGGAAGAAAGGTTCCAAACACAAAAGCTGCGCTCTGCCGCTGGCCTCTGGAGAAGGTGAGCCGTGGGGCTGCACACCACCATCAATGTGACCTGAGCAGCAGGTCTCAGCACCCCTCCAGGGAACCAGAGAGGCACAGCAATGCCAGCAACACTGCCCACAGCAGCCAAGTTTGCAGACTTACTGTTAGGGTTTGGATCCCCGGCACCCAGAGGCTCGTGTGTTGAAGGCTTGGTCCTGGACACAGCAACGTCCAGAGGTGGGACATTTAGGAAATGATGAGATCATGAGCTCGACCACATCAGAGGATTAATTCATGTGAGAACTAATCATGGGAATTGGCCACTGGAGGTGGGGGCCTAGTTGAAAGGAGTGGGCCCTTGGGGACTACACTGTCCCTGGCTGCCATGAGCTGACAGCCCTCCTCCTCCCACCCTTGTGCCAGGACATTCTGCTCTACCTCAGGCCCAACACATGGAGCCAGCCCCCTGCTCTCGTCAGGATGGCCAGGTGCAGCCCAGGTCCCTGGTGTCCCACACAAGTAACAGGCAGAGTACAGAACATTTACTGCCAGGAGAGGTGGAAGTGGCGCTCCCTAAGAAGAGCAGAGTGGGCAGAGCAGGGGTCAAGGCCCAAGGTCTGGAATCAGGCCTTCAGGCTGAGCTGTGCGGCTTCTCTTCCCTGAGCAGACCTGACTGAGGACCTCACCCCGTTTGCCCCACTGATTACTTTAAGATACCTAAGTGGAATATGGCCCAATTTCCCCCTTGGTGACTTTGGAAAACCTAATTAGAATACTGCCCAGTTTACCTGCATTGGTCATTTAAAAACACTGACCGGTGGCAGATGTCAGGGTGGGAGTTGTTATGGTAACGGAACTTATCTAAAACAGGGACATGATGACTCGTCTCCCTGTCTTTCCCTCCAGCAGCATCTTTCTTGTGCCTGCCTCTGCCATCTCGGTGTCCCTGAACTCCCACCTAAAACCTCTGAAACTGTGAGCCTAACTGAATCTTTCCTCATGCCCTTCATCTCAGATATGTGTCACAGCAACAAACAGCGATCACTCTTACCTAAAAATCTCATAAGCCTGTGGCCAGCCTCCCCTGGACAGGGTTGTTCTCCCCAATCCCAAGGGAGAAGCAATGGCCTATCAGCCTGTTCCAGTCACGAGGAACACCTGRGACTCTGCCCACTAGCTGCAGGAAAAGATCAAACTCCAAGTGGCTACCAGCTTTGGAACACGAGTTAGTCAGAAGTGAAGACTAGGKTACACACCAAGAATTCCCCACAAGCTATTGGTCAACTGCCAACTGCTTCTCCCCACCAMGCCTTGCAACACACAGTGCAAAGAGCTCATGCTCAACGTTGCTGGTCGCCAGGGAAATGAGAATTAAGGCCCCGAGGACAAGCACCTGCATACCCACAGAACGGCTAGAGACTGCCCTGCAAGTGGTGACAAAGACAACAGCCACCGAGCCTGGCTGATGCCGCCGTTTTCAAAACTGGCCTGGAGGTGCTCAAAAAGCAAACAGGCACCCTTTATGACTTGCCAATCCCACTCAGGTACTTCGCCCAGAGAAACGGACACACGTCACGGGAGACCCCAGCAGGGACGCTCACTGCCACAGTACAAGTTAACAATGCCACACTGGAAAGAGCCCAGAGGTCCATTCTAGGAGGATGGTCAGGCAGGCCAGAACATCCACAGTGGAACACTTATCTAGTCACAAAAGACAGAAAAACACTCATGGACTGAGAGAAGGCGCACGTCAAACCCACGCCCCACAGCTCCACAGCTCCACACATGGGACTCCTTGGCCCTCAGCAAGGGAAAGGCTGCGAGCGCAGCCCTGGGTGGGAGAGGCAGAGCACTCTGGACTGATGGTTGCTTCTGGCAGGGGTCAGGGTTATGTGGGAGACTCGTCCAAAGGCACGTTCAACTTTCCTGCACTTCACCAAAGGAGAAATTCATCTTGAAAAACAAGACAACCTYGGATAATGACAGGTGTGACAGTACAGGAGGTGTCTACCAGTGACTCCAGGTGCACTATGGGAGGCTGCAGCTGGACCTGGACAGGTGGACTGGCAAAATGTGCAGACCAAACCTAAGTCGAAGGACGAGAACAGGAACTGCCCTCCCTCTCTAGGGCAGACCTGAACAGGCCCACTGGAGTCCTTCTAGTTAACAGTCCAATTTCTCTACGTTTTACTTCTCTAAATGAAATCTACTTCATCTGAAATAAAAGCACATTTTGACACCTACCATTCCACAGTGACTGTCACTGAATGGTGCTATTCTCAGTCTCCTGCTATGTACTGTTGATCTATGTTGGTATTTTCTGTAAATCACTTTAAATACTAGGAACAGAAGATTTTACTCAGTCCCAGGAGGTAAAGAAAACTGACCACCCATTTTTAAAAGTCGCCAGTGTCTTGCTCCAGGAGATGGGAAAACACAGCTATGGAGCAAAGAGACGGCTGAGCTCCCCGACACTGGGCAGTGAGGGCCTCRGTGAACCTACTGACAATTCTGACTGGCTTCCAAAACAGACAGCTGGAGGGCTGTTCCAGATCAGTGACTGACTCAAAACCAGGCAGTGTGACATACTGGTTTCAGGAGTGGGGAGCAGACATATCAGGGTAACTGGTAAAATCTATGTATGGACTGCATGTTAAATCAAGTATTGCAAATATTATAATATCAATGTTCCAAATATGCAAGTATCAGTACCAAATGTCTAGACTGTGCTAATTATATCCACTTGTGCAGAAGAGTGTTCTTGTTCTCAGGAGAAATTACACCCAGGGGTAAAGGGCCACCTCAGCAGCTTATTCTCTGGGTTGGCTAAATAATAATAAGTAATTTGTCAATCTGCAATAAACATTCTTAAAGAAATAAAATAGAAGTATTTTAACGTTAAGACACTAATAAGGAGACAGAGACAGATGACCAAGCAACCCAGCATTGGGATTCTTGGGCTTTCCTGAGCTCAGGAGCTTTCTCACGGCCCCAGAGGGAGCACGGGGCCTGCCTACCATGCCCACTCTCCACTTCTGTTCACAGGTCTACAAGCAAGAACATCTTCCTCCTCATCAGTCAAGTGGCCCCGGGGACAGTGATGATGATACAGGGACCTCCTTTCACAGGATCTTCATTCTGATAAATGTCTTATGTAAACTGAAAGAACCAAGCTCCAAGATACACTCTGGGTTACAGGCCAGTCTGAGTCAAGGAGTAGATGCAGAGGAAGAGGAAGAACTGCCCAGTGGCTCTTCCCACCCTCCTCCTCTGCACACCAAGAACAGGGAGGTCTTCACCGTCAGGCAGTCCTTGTTAAGATGAATTCCAAGATGGGAAAGGTTACTCCATTCTCCTGATGACATCACACCTCACCATCTTGAATAGTAAGGAAGGAAATACAATAAGCACTGTTATTGCTCATGAGAAAGGCAGTGTGCATTTTTCAGAAGCCACAGACCATCCTAACTCATCATGGGATACAGAAAAACAAGTGCTGGAAATAAGAAAACATGCCTGTGGATTTCCTAAGTGTAATACCGAATGTGAATGTCTGACTCCTGTGACTCTGAAGCTTCACTTAGACTCTACTGATTAATTTTTCAAGAATTTTCAGACTCATTCAATTTGGAAATTAAATAAAGTCCAAAAAAAAGTTCTGTCAGAATATACTAAATCATTACAACTCATTTTTAGCTCTTTTCTAAAGTTTCAGGTAGGTCAATTAATTTATTATGTACAAAAGGACATGCTAGCACATGAGATATACTTTTTAAAACCAAGGAAACAGTAGGCACCACACATCTGTAATCCAGTGGCTCACGAGGCTGAGACCAAAGAATCTCAAGTTCAAAGCCAGCCTCAGCAATGGCGAGGCACTAGGCAGATCAGTGAGACCCTGTCTTTAAATAAAATACAAAAGTAGGACTGGGGATGTGGCTCAGTGGTCAAGTGTCCCTGAGTTCAACCCTAGGTACAAAAAAACAAACAAACAACAACAACAAAAGGAAACAAGAGAAAATATTCTTTATCATGCAGCGTCTGTCACACCCACCCCACCACAGCTTTGTGCCCACTCTGCACAGTGACAGGTGCAGAGGACACCTTCATTATCAATTTCAGGTGAAGAAAGAGGGCAGCCACCACTTCAGTAGGCAACGAGGTGAGATGTGATAGTGTCATCAAAACCACTTGAGCATGCCACCACAGCATCTTGTGCCTTAACCCATGTTTCTCAGGGTGGGCAAGATGCACCTCCACGCCTGGTACCACTAAAAGGACACACCACTCTTGACAACAGCCACTGTTCCTTAGAATGCCTGTTGAAGGTTGAAGCTGAAGTCCTAATAGGGACTGTCTTCCCTAGATGAAGTTCTTGGATTCTATAAACAATTAATATGGGATTCAAAACCCTATCAAGGTCTCTTTTAATTTCATGAATATTGCTCTAAAGATCTTCAATATAGTTACTAATGTCTACCCTCCACCAAATCACACAGAGAAGTATTTAAAAGGCATTAAAAAGTGGGGGTGTTGGATGGCATGACACCGTGAAGTACCCTTGTAAAGACAATGTTTTAAACACTACTAGTCATATTGCCACTGAACAATAAACAGTAACAATCTCATAGCAAGCCCATGTTCTGTAGAAAAGTAGTGCTCCTCTCCAGGGACAAGGTGAACGCAGACCCGGAGGGCACCTAGGTGAAGAACAGCTACACAGGCATGAAACTAATGTCCCTTTCAAGATATCCCCAATAAGAAAACAGTCTTCCCACCAAGGAGGGCAGCCACCACCTGGAGAAGGAAGTTTCTTGGTTGACACACTGGAGCTGCACTAYGGGGTGAATTCCTAAGTTGCCCTTGAGAAGTTCAGGGCAGGAAAAACAGAGTAGCCACACCCAGCTCCTCAGGTTGCCTTCCTCACTCCCACTCCGGCAACAAAGCMCACACAGCCCTGTCTTATGCCTCCATGACTCTCCCAGATGCCCACTGTCTGGTGAAGAGCATTCATTGTACACTTGTGCTCACAACTCAACTGAGACCCCAACCCTGTACAGTGTTAGTTGGTGTCTTCAGCAACACACTCAAAAGACACCTAACTGAAGTCACTAACGCATTAGAAATGCATTAGAAACAAACACTACGCAAACAACAACAGCCCCTCGAACGGGGCCAGGTCAACCCTATTTGCAAAAGTCAGGAATCAGGCGAGGGTGACACGGAGGCTTCCTTACTCATACACAAGTGAGTACCATTTCTATAACAGGTCCCACGAGACCCTCCAGCTTAGAGCCTGGAGGGAGCCTGCCAGGCCCTGAGGCCCAGCTCTGCTCGGCCCTGCCCTCCAGGAAGCCACCCTCTAGAAATGCGGCTGGGTTCTGCAAGCGAGTGCGCACTTTCCGCCTCCACAACCCCTGCGTCTCGCGCCCGCCTGTTTCTTGGCCAGTGTCTGGAGGAACTCTGTGGGTCACCACTGGGGCCCCGCAGCTGGCGCGGGTGGGACCCACGAACGCCGAGTGCCCACCGCACGAAGACCCCGCASCGCCAACTTCCAGGCAGAGGCCACGGGCCCGGAGCCGACCCACCCTCTCCTCCGCGCCTTTGGGGAGGAAGGGCCCGCCAGCGTCCGCCGCTGTCCGCGACCCCCGGGGGCGGGGTGGACCCGAGCGCCGCAGCCGCAGCCGCCCGGCCGAGAGCCGCCGGGGCCTGGCCACGCAGAGCGGCGCCCCGCCCGCGACCCCCCGCCCGACCCCGGGCCTCACCGACTCTGAGCGGCTCCTGCGCGGCGGCCGCCGGGATGAGCAGCAGAACCAGCGCGGCGCCGGCGAAGGGCAGTGCCCAGCGCGGCGTCGGCCCGCGAGTCCCGCTGGGCGCCATGGTCGGTCGGCCGGTCAGCAGTTCGGACGCGAGCCTACTCCGACACCAGCCCTGCGGCCTCTGCCCGGAAGGCCGCGGCGCCGGAAGTGGGCAGGAGGGGCGGGGCCGGGAGTGCGCCGCCCTGGGCTCCGGCCAGCCTCCCGGCCGCCTGCGGCTCAGTGCGCCTGCGCGGCGGGGACCGGCGCCGGACTGAGGCGCCTGAGGCTCAGTGCGCCTGCGCCTTGGGGATCGGTGGGTCGTGCGGGTRGGGCGGACTGTGGCTGCGAGTCCCGGGTTGGAAGGCGCGAGGTCTGGCCTTGAAGGGCTGCAGATGGTGGCCTCAAGCCTGCCACGTCCTTGAGGGGCCCGCGGCAGCCCTGAGGGTAGGAACGTCACGTTACTGTGCGTTACTTGCTACTTGCGTTGTTACATTATTCCGTTAAGGCCCCTTCACGGCCCTTGAAGAACGGTAGAAACCACCTCAAGGTGCTCTTAACTAGGGTCCCCGGGCTGTCGTCTTACCCTGTAGGCTTAGCTCCCAGCGCTGCAGGGGCGCGGGGGGCGCGGAACCCTGTGCTGCTGGGCCGCCCTCGCTCACGCTCTGGGTCACGTCCTGAGCCGCCCGCACCTTCCCCAGGAGAGGGAGGCATCTTGTGGAAGGTGAGGCCAGGGCCAAGGATTGGTTATCAAAGGAAAGGAAATGAGCTGCTGTCAGCTCACCTCTGAGTGGCACTTCCCCGCCCACCCACCAGCTGTTTGCACCTGGGAGAGGGGGATGCACTTTCCCACCCACCTGGCTGTTAGCAGGGGGTGTGCACTTCCCGTGTGCACCGCCTGTTAGCCTTGGGGAGGGGGCTTCACTTCCCCAGGGCTGTTAGCACTGGAGAGAGGGTGCACCCCAGGGCTGTTAGCACTGGAGAGAGGGTGCACTGCTCTTTTCTGCCGGTAGGCCCTAGGCCAGGTAAGAATTGCATCAAGAAGGAAAGGTGGGGSCTGGGTTGTGGCTTAGTGGTGGAGGACTTGCCTTGCACTTGAGAGCCACTGGGGTTCCATCCTCAGCACGACATTTTAAAAAAAAAAGTGTGTCCATCTACAATTTAAAAATAATAATAATAATAGGGGACAGTTAACTTAAAGAAAAAGAGGAAGGAAAGATGGACAGGGCTGGCTCCTGGCAGGGCCTACTGGGATCRTAGTAAAAGTAGGAGTTTTGGCCACAGGTTCCTTGGTGTATTTCAGAAGGGCATTTCATGACTGTTCAGGTGCACTGAGGTAGATTTTGTCAGGTCAGTGACCCCAGCACCCCCACTGACATAGGTTTTGATACAGGGCTTGTAGATGAAGCCCCCTGAACTGTTCCAGAGAGGACCCCTGCCTGAAGTGAAGAAGGAGTTGAACAAATGGTGAAGACTGCAGAAGGTGGCCCCCAGTTTATCAAACATCAAGTAACGCATTTGGAAGCAGCTTAGAGATGGCCTGTGTTTTCTCTGCTTGAGCCTTACTTTAACTCAAATACTCTTGCTTGACTTTTCTTTTCTTTAATATTTTTTAGTTGTCAATGGACCTTTATTTCATTTATTTATGTGGTGCTGAGAATCGAACCCAGTGCCTCACACATACCAGGCAAGTGCTCTGCCACTGAGCCACAGCCCCAGCCCCCTCTTACTTGACTTTTTGTGTCTGACTTTAAATTCTTTCCTTGGGACAGAAGAACTGAGGCGTGGAGCTTCAGCTCCTCACTGTCTGCCGCAGTCTGGCTGGGSACAATTCAGGAGCCACTTGTTAAGCAGAAACAAACTTTATTTTTAGAACACACAGGCAGCACCACAGGAACTCT